GGCATTCTCAGAGTTTCATTGTAGTCTGAGAATCCTCCCTGGGCCTACTCGCATGTAGATCATAATCTTATTCGACGGAAAAATTACAACCATATTCATCCTCCGCACTATGGACGGAATCGTCACCTGAACGTTTCGGAGAAGATACTGTTGTGCCCATTTTCTTAGTTATTAAGTATGATTTTTGTAAGATTGGATGCTTAGGTTAAAATGCCAGATGGCTGGCCGGAAGGCAAGGAGACAGAGTCGCGGCTGACTCTTCGCATTCCTTGTCAGTCGACTGAATTGTCTTTAGAAAAGACTGTTTATGCATCAGTGGAAAGACCCGGTCAGGTTTCGCATCGCGCGACAAGGCATGTCCGGCAAGTTGCTGACCTCAGGGATTTTGCGACTTGAGGGAAAAAAAGGTTGAATCTTGGATTTCAAGGGCAGATGAATATGTTTATAAATTTAAGCAGTTAGTGGTCGAACTTGAGTGAGAATTGCTTTTGAAAGGAAATTGTGGGAGACCTACGAACATAGTTTAGCTTACAGTAGATACACGTTGGCCCTTTGGCGTGAAGCATGGCTCGTGTGGGGGAAATGGAGGTTCTCCAAGCACAGATGGAGGAACTACGGGTTCAGTTGGAAACCCTCGGAACTGGGGAGGCCCAAAGAGGGCAGAGCAAGGGCGTTTCACTTGTAGCCGGGATAAAGGAATGGATGGGGAAAAGTAAGGGGAGATCTGCATACGAGTTTGTAACGCAGACAGAGACATTGGCCAAGGTAAGTGGGTGGACTAGCCACGATAAAGCTTTCATTGTTAAGGCCAAATTGCAAAGGTTGGCCCTGCAGTTCTTGAATGGAAGGGAAGAGCTAGGCCGAGATGGATGTTCCTACGAAGTTCTGGGGCAGGCACTGATTGAGAGGTTCAGTGACACGCTCCCTGACCAGTATTACTATACTAGACTACAGGACGCGGTTCAGGGGAAGAACGAAAGCGCGGAGGAGTTCAGTGACCGTTGTAGGAAGATGTGTCTAAGAACCATCAAGGTCAACGACGAAGAGACCCGACATATAATTAATGAGGAGGCAGAACGTAGGTTGTTGGCAGCCTATGTTCACGGTCTTAGGGGCATAGTAGGTCAAAAAGTACAATTCAGATGCCCAGCACAATGGAGCAGGCGGTGAGGTTAGCGGTCACAGTAGAGAACGTGGAGTAACACAAACAGCTAACCGAAGGAGTCAAGAAGGTATTTACCGCTAGGAGCGACGTTGAATGTTTCCACTGCGGGAAAAGAGGGCATTATGCTAGGGATTGCCAACAAGAAACCCCCTCCATGACATCAGGTTGGAGGTCGTGGCGAGATCAGAGCTCTAGGTGGAGGGACCCAATCTCCCGCGACCTTCTGCTCACTCGAGGAGGTAGAGGAAGGGTCCGATCTGGCAGGCAAAGCTTTCGGGGCCCAGCGCGGCCTTGGGGCCCACCTGAGGACACTCGCTTGTCAGGCATCCAGTGCTTCCATTGTAATGAGTTTGGGCATAGGCGTAGAGACTGCCCAAAATTTTATCGAGCTGCCCAGCACCCAAACGGTCAGGGTTCGACGTCCAGATCCCCAGCGTCGAACCAGCAATAGAGTGCACGACAGTAGGTTGGTCGCACGTAGGAATTACCGGCCCAGAGTTGTTGATAGAAATAGAAGGAAGCATCCAGCAGGTGTTAGTAGATTCAGGGGCCAGCCTGAGGGTGATGAAGCCGGGAATTAATACATCATGTATTTGTGCTACACGGAGAGCCGCAAGAGGGATCACGGGAGCTAAATTGAAAATAGTAGGAGCGCAGTTGATAACATTTAGGGTGGGGAAAAAGATGTTTACCCACGAGTTTTTGATAGCCCCCCTAGATACGGAATACAGTGGTGTTCTAGGGGCTGATGTTCTCAGACGGATTGGGGGGGGGGGTATCCATTTACGAACCGACATGCTAGTCCTACAACGGACACACCATCAATTATTNAGGCGGTGTGTCACAGTCCACCTCCATGCCGGACGGCACAGAGGATGTCACCAGCGGGCTTGGCCAGCCCAAGGTTGACGCCGTCAGGTGGACCGATTGAAGTACCTACCCCAGGGTTGAGCCCGGGAGGATCCTGTATAGATTGTTGGAACGTGGTGGCTCAGGAGCCAATCGTCATCCCCCCGTTGTCTGAGGGACTGGTAGTAGGGAAAATAGAGAAGAGTAAANGGGTGGAGTTGCCCCGGGAGATATTAATTGAGCCCTTGGGATTAGGTACACCGGGTGCGTACGTGGCTCGAGTAGTGAGCCGGATTTTTACTGCAGGAGAATTGGAGGAAATGCAAAGCCTAGGCGGAAATGATAGGAAACCTGGTACCAGTGGAAAGAGTGCGAGGGTCGATAGGGTCATGACCGTACGAGAGGATAACGGGGCTAGGTACTGTGTATTAAAGGTGTTGAATACCCGTGGTCAATATTTGGAGTTGGGGAAGAATGTACGCTTGGGACAGGCCAAGCCGCTGAGGGAGATTACACCCAAGCAAGCAGGAGTTGATTTTCGCTACCCGGGGAGGAAGGGAATGGCGGACCTTTGGGTTAGTTCCGTTAGCACAAGAGATGCTCTGGAACTCAGAGAAGTAAGGGAGAAACTAGAGCAGAAGTTAGATCACTTGTGCAAAAAAAAGAAAAAAAAGTCTTGTTACCAGTGCTTGAAGAATATTTAGATTTATTTTGTAACGGCAGCACACGGGTGCTACCCACTACGATGAAGGGCTATCACGAGATTTGGACAGGGGACGCCCTGCCGATTAAGAAGAACCCATATCGTGTACCCTATGCATTAAGGGAGGAGATGAGACGCCAGGTAGATGAGATATTGGCTAAAGGGGTTATTACTCCCTGCGCATCTCCGTGGGTGGCGCCAGTGATTTTAGTCCCCAAGAAATCACTGGATGGAATTCCAAAATATAGATTTTGTACCGATTTTCGAGGGTTAAATTCAGTGACGAGTACACCAGTATACCCCATACCTGATATCAAGAGCAACCTCTCACTTATGGCGGGGAGTAGATATTTCATGTTATTGGACATCGAAAACGCGTATTGGAATATTCATATATGTGAGGAGGATAAGGATAAGACCGGATTCGTCACCGCATTCGGTAGTTTTAGGTACGAGAAAATGGCCTTTGGTCTTTCAGGCGCCCCTTCGACATTTCAACGTGTCATGGATGCCATGTTGGTGCGGTTGCGTGACATGGAGGTACTCGTATATTTGGATGACCCACAATCCCATCCATCAGACGAAGAAAGTTCATGCCTTAGACTGCGCGGCCACCGTGATCGGCGCCACATGTCAGTACACCAGCGCAAATCATGAATCAGATGAAATTAAGTCAAGCTGACATCCCATGTAACTTGACATTGCCAATTCCATTGAGTGCGGACTACCATAATTTATCTAAGATTTGAGGTATTCACGGCGGTGACTATGAAGAATGCCGTCTTCTGGGATGTGGTGCTGTGTAGATATTGTATTAACCGAAGTTTCGGAGGAATGTATAGCCTCCATCTTCAGGGTAGAAAAAAAAGGGAAAATTCGCGAGCGAGGAACCAGCAGGTGCTGACAGACCATAATTTAGTTTTAAGAATTAGTAAAGTTGATGTATTTTTAAAGGGAAGTTATTTTATGTAATTCGCCTTCTAAAAATCAGCTGAAATACAGTGTGTACCATGTTTACCCTTTCTAATTAAGATGACATTTTTTTTTTCCTTGGCACTACAGCCCCAGTGGGCCTAGGTCTACCTCCATGAACTTCTCCGTTCAGTTCGGTTTTTCTAGATCTTACACATATGGTAGGACTCCTTGGGCGAGTGATCAGCTTGTCGCAAGGCCTCTACCTGTAGACAAACACAGAAAAACGCACACAAACATCCATGCCCTGAGTGGGATTCGAACCCACGATCTCAGCTTCCGAGCGAGCGAAGACAGTGCATGCCATAGACTGCTCCACTACCGTGACCGGCAAGATCAGAAATACTGAGTTTAAATTTACATTTATATTGCCAGAACGTGAGTGTTTGTTAATGGATATCACAATCAATAAGTTCGTGGAATGGCCTCAAAGCGTCGTACGGGAATTTACTGCCAATATGTTTGAGCAATGTTTTCGACACTATATCAACGTTGACAGAACTGCATAGCGGTCAACGGCAACTATTTTGAGGGCCGATGTGGATCTGCGTAAGTGTTTGTGAATACCTTTTAATATGATGCGATAAAAACACATTCCACGAACTTAATGACTCTACCACGCATATAAACAGTATTATGCTAGGTTAATGGTAGACGACTCCAAGGAATGTAAACTGATAAACAACAACCATCGACTGTGCAAACAAAATTACCCTGTGCAAGTAAAGCATTTAGATGAAGAATGTGAAGCCGAATTGCTTCAGTCCATTAGAAGCAGACCTATCGGTTCTGAGAGAATGGCAGAACAAAATCAAACACTGTGGATCAACATACATAATAATAAATGGCTGTATGTTGTTCTGCGAGTCGATACTCTCACTGTGCTGTGTTCAGGACAGGAACAAATTGACATCATGGTAACAAGTCAGGCATTCGGATTGTGAATGTCCACCTGTGTGACATACTGAAATTATATTTTTCTCCCCCCCCCCCCCCAGNTAATGAAGATATGGCAGTGGCTGCTGCAGGCAGCCACTCTATGTCCGAAAATATTGCGGTGTCAGAAAAGCAAATATTTATGCATAGCCTGCATTTGTTGTATAAGGTGCTCCTTAACATGGAATTATAATCTTATATAACTGATGTATTGAAATGTCATCTAAGAGAGAGAGAGAGATTCATTCATATTTCCTGAACGGGATTTGGAAAATAAGAAATCCGCATATATTCGGAAAGTTTCGGAAACTCAGTCAGTAGGCGAGTTGCAATTGGGATTAAATCTGATATGAATCTTGTAATGATGTGTTGCAGGTGGAGCAGTATTATAAATACCTAGCCGTAATATTCCTCGAATTGACCTGGGTTATCATGGATGGAATGGTAAGTTCCTTGACAGCTGAAGTTCTACTTACCAAGCAACACTGCCTCTAGGCAATGGGCCAAATTAAAGAACAATTGTAATTCATTTCCTGGCAACGTCAAAGATTTTTCTGTTATCCACACCGCGAAGACTGGCCTTGACGACCACCCATCCTCCTGTCCGGTCCGTAGTAGTACCTCCTTTACATGGTATTATAAACTTATCTAACTGATGTATTGAAATGTCTTCTAAGAGAGAGAGATTCATTAAAATTTCCTGAACACGATTTAGAAAATAATAAATTGGCATATATTCGGAAAGTTTCAGAAACTCAGTCAGTAGGAGAGTTGCAGTTGGGATTAAATCTGATATGAATCTTGTACTGATGTGTGTTGCAGGTGGACGAATATATAATACAAGGTCCGTATAAAAAGTATCGGGAAAAATCTTACCCTTACATGACTGTACACCGCACCATGCTCGCACCGCCCAGGCGTGGTCATGGGGGTCTAACCTTTAACACGCACCAAGCGCCATTCGCCTGAGCGCATTCGTAGAGGTCAGGCCGTGTTTTCAGTGGACCCCTGTCGAGTGAGTCGGTGCAAGCACAGAATAACCACAAAACTACTAGTTTTGGACGACGAACAATCCGTGATTGTGGTTACATCACCATCTTTCTATCCAAGGTCATTTAAAGTAGATAGATAGAAGTGAAACATACAACCGAGAGAATGATGTGATGCGGTTACAAGTTTGTACACGTGCGGGATGGCGATAAAAGATGACAGACACTTAGAACATACTTAACGATATGATACTCTGTAACCCCGCCTATTAACCTTAACCTTTCATTATCGTTCCTCTTTAAATACATGCCACATCAACATCTCTCCTCAATCATGTATTACCACGACACTTGTTGCCACTACAAGTCAGTCTGCAACTGTTCTCTCTGTTGGAAAGAGTTCGCTCAGTGTCCAATATCAGATTTGTGTGCAGACAACACCCAGCGTCTACAAGCTTCTGGTGTTCTTCTTCCACACCAATCTCCGTTCGACGACGAAGAAGATACAACATACAACATTGGCTCTCTTCGGGTAAGAACCACAAATGTCATTAGTTTGGACAGATCAAACATCAAACAAATCACAATGGCCAACATTCACAACTCCGGCAGGCAAAACAATAACTCTCCCTCCAAGGAGATATATTCTCTTTGGAAATATGCTCAGCCCGATGACCCCGGAACTTCTACAGGAATATTCGGCCCACCTCCGAGAGCATCACACACTATCGACAGCACCCGAACCATTGGCACGCCTAAACTCACACCTCCAAGTTCTCCAAGTTCACATCAAGAACCCACCACAATCGGAGATGAACCTGATAATATCTCTCACCAACACATCCAGCAGACCAGTGCGCCAAGCAATTTTCCTAGCAGCGATACGAATATTCGGGATAACACCATACACGATGGTGATACAGGAAGGATCAACAAAAGAACCTCTGTTATCGTACTCAACAAGCGACTCCGCTCATGTGATAACAGTCCTCCTCGAAACCAAATTAAACAAAGAAGAACTTCTATCAGCAACGCAACCATCGATGGACATCTTCAACACTCAGATGACGGAACTCCTTCGCCACCATCGCCCAGCATTCCTGCAGACACAACTGGAAACAATGATCCAAGTGGAAGCTCTCCCATCCTCCTCCAACCAACCTCAGCCTCTACAGATCTTTACTACACATTCATCCTCCACAAAACAACCTTCGACGCCCTCCCACCAACATCAAAAAAATCCCCAACATTCGCAACATTTGACCACGGAGACCACATCCACATCATCTTCTCCGTCCGTCACTCAAACAACGTATCCCGCCACCTCAACTCCATCCTATCTTTCCTTAAGACAGGCTTCTCTGGAAATGCAGAAGCTCATACAAGCCTTCAACTCATCCGCTACACAACCAGATTCATTTCATATCTTATCCGTAAAGGTATCTCAACATTCAACAAATATGGAAATAAATCCCTTTCCATCATCAAGCCAATCCTAGATGCGATTGCAAGATACGATGTCACAGACTCTTCTCCAGACAACATGCCATGCCAACAATATGTCGAAGAAAAAAAAACAATCATCAAGGAGAACCTCACCCAACGTACGTTCTCAATTGATTACATTTCTAATCTCATTGTCTCTAACAAAATAACATCTTATGAAAATTTTCAACGCGTTCTCCCAACCGACACCAAAATCCAACTTCTTAAACAGTTGGGCTATGTTGGCCAAAATATAATTAAAACACTAATAAAAATTCACAATATCGAAATCTTGCAAAACATAAAAACAAAACACTACTATCAGTTGATAATTGATAATTTTCAACTCGATAAATCCATCCCATCCAACGTCTCGTGGCTCAAACAAGTCTTCCGATCAAACGCCATTAGTGTTTCCAAATTTTTTGCTCATTTCCTCCTCATACATTCCATGAACATTACAAAAATAAATTCGTTTGTCCTCCAGGGACCAACTAACACAGGAAAGTCTCTGCTCATGAACATCCTACTATCAGACACCAAACCCACAAGAATTGCGTGGGAACGAGACAAATCCAACTTCCACTTGGATCAGCTTCCCAACGCAACAAGTGTCATCTTTGAAGAACCCATCATCGACCAAACTACGGTCGGTACATGGAAACTGCTACTAGAAGGAGCCCCCATCCCCACCGATATGAAACACGCGGACAAGGAGCTCATCAATCGTCTACCGATTTTCATCACCACCAACCAAGACATATGGAATTGGGTCGGTACAGACGACGTCAACCCCATAAAACAGACAATTTTCGTATTCAACCTCAAGATAACGATATCATCGCTGATTTCACAGCAAGCACAAATCCCACAACCTCCACACATAATCACAAAACACGACATATATGCATTATTCCTACATCACCTTCAATACATCCACGAAGAATATACAACTCTACTCACAGCCCTTCCCATCTCGGACACTACAAAACCATTCACCACCACCCAATACAACGACCTTCAAAACTTACAAGTGCAACTTCTATTACAGGATCCATCCTAACCTCTTCATCAACTTCGATGCCCCATGATCGATGGCTGATTCCACATCAGAACAACAAGATCGCCCCTACAAACGACAAAAAGTTGGATCTGATAGGCCAACTATGGGCCAAACAACACACATCGTCGAACAAGATGGATATGGTAAACACATGCACAGTGAGATATCAACCATACCAATTCCTATCAAAACCACCCACATTCACGGAGAAATATAAAGGTCGACATTTCATTTTGTGATTCCTCCACTTGTGGATATATAATACCATACCATCTCCTACAATTCTGGATCGGACTCAATGAAAACGAAAACAACACAATGAAATCCTTCAATTCCCTTCTGTCGTCATCGTATGGAGTCACGTGGCATTCATTTGACCTCTCCATCTACAATCAAGCAACAAAAAGGAAACGACTTCTCACACAGGGTGCCACAACATACGAAACTATCAACTTCGAAACTTCTCAAAACCTCATGATCCTAACTGACGTCAACAACACACACACACCATCCGTCATCTGGCCCGACGAATTCCTCCCCCCCCGGCCATAAAAACACATCAACCGACCTACAATCAGGCTCCTTCTTTTGCAAAATAGAGGAACTGGCAACAGGTCATACCAAACACTTCCAATTCACACCAGAAAAATTACCATCCTCTTACGTCTGGCAACTTCCCAAAATAGAAAATACGGGTATCTTCTGTGACCTCATGTTTCCCGCCCGAACAGAGGTACGCCATCAAGTTTTGTGTTGGACTGGGGAAAACGGGTACAGAGATGTTGGGCATGATTCGCCAAGTGTTCAAGGATGAAAGCATGTCACAAACTGCAGTTTTTAAGTGGCACAAGCTCTTCAAAAGTGGCCGACAGAGTGTGGAGGATGAGCCCCGCGGTGGACGGCCGTCGTGTGTGTGACGTACTCAATTCAGACCATCGGTTAAGTGTGCCCATGATTGCAGATCGTGTTGGCATTGATAAGATGACGGTGCACACCATTATCACTGAAGATTTGGCGATGTGAAAGGTCTGCGCGAAACTCGTCCCGAAGGTCTTGACGGACGACCAAAAGCAGAGACGAGTGGCTGCTTGTGAAGACCTTCTGCAACGCGTTGAGGAAGACCCCGGCTTTCTGGACGTCATCACGGAAGACGAAAGTTGGATATTCAAGTACGACCCGGAAACAAAGCTTCAAAGTTCCGAATGGCACACTTCGGCATCACCTTGTCCAAAAAAGGCGCGAATGAGCAAATCCAGAATGAAAATCATGCTCATCGTTTTCGTCGACGCCCAGGGGGTAGTCCACTACGAATTTGTACCTGAGGGGCAAACAGTAAATGGAGCTTTTTACCTGGAAGTGCTAAGAAGAATGAAGAGAAGGTCAATCGGGTGAGGCCAGCCATCGCCGGAAATTGGAAATTGCATCACGACAATGCACCCAGTCACACCTGCTCCAAGGTGACCACCTAACAAAAAATGGCATCGCGACGGTACCCCCAACCCCCCTACAGTCCCGACTTGGCACCAGCAGACATTTTCCTGTTCCCGAAAGTGAAATCCTCCCTCAGAGGGCACCATCATGGGACCCTGAGTGCCGTCAAAGAGGCTTGCACGCGGACCCTTAAGGACCTTCCGGAATCCGCCTACCAGGGAGCCTTCATGTCGTAGCAGCGCCGTTGGCAAAAGTGTATCGATGCACAAGGGATGTATTTTGAAGAATTTTGAGGCATTGTAGCAATATCTGAAATAAATCTATTTTCCCGGAACTTTTCCCGATACTTTTTATACGGACCTTGTATACAGGGTGATTGACTAGGAGCTTCCGCCACTTATGGAGCTCATTTCTAAAAATATTTTGAGCAAAAAGTGTCATATAAACCTGGGCCCTATACTCACTATTTACAGAGTTACGTTTGTAATTGTAAATGCACTACTGTGAACTGCGCGTGGTCTTCGCCAACGTAAGCACGTGATGTGTCTGCAGCCGGTTAGTAGCGTAGATGCAGTTAGTGCTCATGCAGTGTGACGGTTGCCTTTGGTTGTGAATGTTGTGTTACAATGCCGCAAACATTTTCCACAGAAGAATACGCCGATATGATGTTCATTTTGCGAGTGTGTGACGGTAATGCTACTGCCGCTTCAGCTGAGTACCACAGTACTGTGGTACCCTAACCGCAGGATTCCGAATATTAATATGTCAAGCTGACATCCCATGTACACCTTTACACCTTGTTCAGGTGTGGTGCATAGAGCAACAAGAAAACCTGTTCTCACCCTCTGTGGATCCCACGACCACAAAGAGGAGGGAAACACAGGCTAACGAATTGGTTGCAGAGAATTACTATAGTCTCTTGAAGATGTGACACACCTACTTTGCCGAATATACCCTTCAGAACAACTACAAACCAACTCTGATATTTTCAGTGACATTTTCCACGATGGCCGTAATCTCCCCCACCCCTTATACAAGAACTGGTGCTCGAAACAAGTTCCAAACAGAAACAGCTGTCCCCTGCTTGCTGTTGTGATGCCTCCATGACCAAACTGATTAGTGCCGACATTCTAGAAATATTCTCCAAATTTAATCTACTCTTAAATTCTTTGTCCAAGTAATTTTTATTTGTTAGCGTCACCACCAAATGAACTTGGTTATTCGTCTGGTGTTGAGAAGGTATTTTCGTGAAAATGACATATCAAATTGAAATCCTTTATACGGTTGTTGGATAATCATATACGGAGTCATTCGCGGCAATTTCTGCAAAGGCCTCGCGAGTGAGCTGAAAATGGAAAGTAATTTCTCAGGTAACCTACTGACACAATTCCACATACCTACAGGTGAAATGATGGAAGAACCTCAATTTGTTGTGTTGTAATAAAGGATAAATCAGAATTTTCCATACGCTGTTTCAGATGGACAACATTGAAGACGTGGTACAAGGGATGAATCTGAATATGAATTTACTGACTGGTAAGTAACCTATTGTCATGTGTTAGTGACTAAAAACTGGGTTTGGATTGATTACTGGATTTACTGAACAGTTTGCAGTTAATTTGTGTTGATATTGTATTACAATTAAATTAATTCTTGTTCACTTTTCAGTTAATTTGTATTTGTATTGTACTGAATTTCAATTCAATTTGTAAAGTAAATCCTGCCTTAAAGGGGTCTGTTTCCGCGTATTCAGGTCTCCATCTTCGTGATCAAGACTGATGTTTAAGTGCAAAAGACTCCACCATTCTCCAGCAATTTCACAACTGTCACAGTTTGAAGACAATCAGAGAGTAGTTTCCCTCACGAGAAAGGAGCATATAACCATACCAACTAATCGCCATTTCTGCAGGAAGTTTAATGCACGCAAATATCAGATTATATAAGAAAGGGTCATGTCATACAAGACTCTAAGGAGAGTTATTATCTGTAATATTAGTTATCTTGTAAATGTTGCAGTAACTCCACGAATATTAACAGGTAATCATCAGGGGCTACTTTGGGCCCTAATCCCCATTGGGTATGTACAAATTCAGAACCATCACACTGCAGACATTTTATCAAAGTTGTCCAACTTAAATGCACTAAATCTATATACGTGATGCTATCAAAAAGTTCCCGAAATTTGAATTCTGCACGCGAATGGTTATCAGCATATCGAAATACCGCTAGACGGCTCCCCACACACCCTTCTTGAATCAGTGTGGCAAGCGGCGTCGAGTTGAGTGGTTGGATTTATTGTTGGTGAACGTATTTCCATTGTTGTGTTTCCGTGAGTTTGCAGTTTGGTGATGGCTGACCCGAGAGAGCAGTGTGTCTGTATACTGTTTTGTTTTAAACTTGGGAAACCCGCTGCAGAAACGCACCGAATGTTGAAGCAAGCTTTTGGTGACAACAGTTTAGACCAGACACAAACTTACGACTGGTATAAGCATTTCATAAAAGGCCGAACATCGACTGATGATGACGATCGTTCGGGGCGGCCGTCAAATGGCACCACACCAGAAAATGTTGCGAAAGTCAGGGATCTGATTCTGCAACATCGTAGACAGACTGACCATCTAAGACCTCTGTAACACCTTGGGACTAAGTTACGATACATGTCAACGAATTTTGTCAGAGGAACTGAACACGAGGAGGATTGCGGCGAAATTTGTGTCACGACTGCTGCAAAATGAACAGAAACAGCATCGCTTGGAAGTCTGCTGCGAACTTTAACACAGATTAAAGAGGTTCAAAACTTTCTCTCGAAGGTTGTCACTGGTGACGAAAGTTGGGTTTATGGCTACGACCCTGGAAGCAAGCAGCAATCGTCGCATTGGAAGAGCCCTTCTTCACCTTGGCCAAAAAAAAAATGCTCGACAAGTCAAGAGCAACATTAAGTCCATGTTCATCTGTTTTTTTTTTATACTGACGGCATTGTTCATAAGGAGTTTGTCCCTCCTGGTCAGACAGTCAATAAAAAGTTCTATTGCGATGTTCTAAGGCGTTTGAGGGAGGACATGAAACATCCAGAAAATTTGATAAAAACAAGATGGCAGTTGTTCCCCACCCACAGTACTCACCAGACTTAGCTCCATGCGACTTCTTTCTCCTCCCCAAGATGAAGATCTGATTCTCAAGCAAAGTTGAAAAGCAACGGCGATAAAGCATCTCCTTGTTTTAGACCATTCTGGATAAGAAAATTATCAGACAAATGTTTACCTATACGGACATTTCATTTAAATCCTTCTCTTCTCAGACACTCGAAAGTATGAATAGCGATTCGATAAGCTCGCTCACACACGGGAAGCAATATTTGGCAATTTTAACTTTGCAGAATTCAATGTAGTTCAATCACGAATTCGACAGTATGCACAAAAGTTACCGATAAAAACACGAAGACTTAACTCAGGTTAGTCGTTGTCTCTGAACACATGCCCGGATATTCCCTCAATTAGAAAATTATTACATTCTCTGATGTACATTTAAATCAATATGCGAATTCTTTTATGGTAACAGAGAGATGTTATATATAATTAATTATACTTGTCTTGTAAATGTTAAAATAACTTGATAATATTAACACGTATTTGTTTCTTTTCAGATGTAGCCAAAATTGGATAGAAGCTACAATTTTTTTCAATTTTCCCTTTAATGTATTTCAAGTTTAAATTGTATTTTAAAGTTATTTGAGTTAATGTTTTAATTTCATTTCAATTAGTTCCTTTTCCAAGTTCAATTGTGTTTAAATGTCAAATGTAGTTATTTCGTGTTTCAAATTTAATTTAAATATAATAAAAATTCAGTAAAAATTCTTTCTTGTTTCTTTTCAGATGTTTTGTTTTGATACAGCTGCCAAAAATTTCGGTTATTCTTCAATTAAATAAAATTTTAAATTATTCTTTCCTTTAGTTACTGTTCAAATGTTATTTAAATTAATTAATTTTCCCTAGTTCATGCTGCTTAAAATTACATTTTAAATGCAGTTATTAGATGTTTCCAACATTGATAGCAGCACAATAATTTTCTTTTCAATTTAATTTAAAAAATATCCATTTAATTGAACTATTTCTAAATTTTTCATTATTAATATAATATAGTTCATTCCCATATAATTAAATTGTTTCTTTAATTTTTCATCTGTAATCTATAATAGAGTTCATTAAATTTCTGTAAAAAAGTGTTCAATTTTCAATTAATTTGTATTTGTATTGTACTGAATTTCAATTCAATTTGTAAAGTAAATCCTGCCTTAAAGGGGCCAGTTTCCGTGTATTCGAGCCACGAGACCAAAATGCATGAAAAGATTCTGCTTGTGTTCTGGTATTGCAATAATTTTACCAGAACACAAGCAGATTTTTTTCATGCATTTTGGTCTCTTGGCTGCCTCAATTTTCACATAAGCCTTATGTTTATTTATTTTTATCTTTTATTATGTGCACATCCCGGTTTATTTTATCTAATACACCTTCAACACACATATATCAAAATGATGTAAAGATTCGAAAAACTGCAGATATTTGATGTACAAAGGAATGATTTAATGTCATGTTTAAAAATCACATTAAATCATTCTGTTGTATCTCAAATTTCTGCAATTCCTCTAATCTTTACATCATCTTGATATCTCTTTATTCTCCAATTTTCATCGCCATTACGTCAACTTATATAATTTTAAAACAGTGACCCTTTTAAGGCAGGTTTTCCTGTATTTTCCTTTTGTGAACCTTTTAACGTCCGAAGTGCACCGGTCGGTACAGTGATGAATATATTTCAAATAAATGAGGTACACCGATTTGTGCAGTCGGGCATTGCGTGCACACTCCTCTAGCGGGGTTTAAATTCCCCAACTGAACGGTGCATTTCGGACATTAATTAAGTGTTAAACAAATTCAATGTATCAATAATTCACTTTATTATATTATAAATAGTTCTGTATTATTATAGCCAATTTATTATAAAATTATTAAGAATAAAAAATATATTGTGTTATATACATTTTGTACAACACTGCATTTAAATAAGCAGATATTTTCTTTGGTATTCAAACACTGTGAGTCATGTAAACGCATGGAATTTCCGATGGTTAAATCGGAATAACTATCAATCAACTTCTTAATTAAATATTCACGATGTCTGTGGAAAACAGATTACAAATGCTTTGAGGGAGAGCACAGAAGTATTTACTTTATATCAGAAAAATCACAAATTAACAATGTTACTATCGTATAGGAAACAAAAAATATTCCGTTTGATAGCCACCTATTCTAGGTGCAGAAAAATCTATGGGGTAGT